TGATTCAGTGATTTTAATTTGATTATTACTTTAAAAATTACGGCCTATCAGATTTTTTGTTCAGTAACATGTTTCGATAAAAATGAGTTTCACGGTAGAAAGTACGGGCACCCTGAATGCCGATACTTTTTACCGTAATTTCTTACAGTGTACTCAGTTTTTCAGCTTTTTGTTATCCACGTGAGTACGCTTAAGTATTCATGCTTATGACTGCCCCCTCGCTTGATATTTCTGTTCCTTGTTGCCAACATGAAAGAGAAGAATTTTTTTGTCATCGTGTCTTACACCTTTTATTCTGGACTTATTTAAGAATTTTCAGAGTCACCTGCTGCAGATTATTTATTTGAAGAAGGATTTGACAATGTTTAATTTTATTATTTGCCATCTAAACCGAGTCTTATTTGTTTTTCGGATAATTACTTATTCTTTCGCCACATTTTCAATCCGAAATTAAAAAAAAGAAACGTTTTCCTCAAACGATAATATTAAGAGTGCACGATTTAAACCGAAAATGAATAAACAATATCCATGTTGGTTTTTCTTTAGTTTTTAAGTCGTTTGCCGGAAATGGCAATAGATTACGAGTCAATTCCACCAAAACAAGAAGAAACATTTTTAACTTGTTCTTTCAACCGCTTATAATCCGCGCCTCATGTCAATCCCTCCGAGAATCAAGACGTAAAGGATTTTCAGAAATATTTTTTTTATTTTCTTTTAAAAAAATGATTTAGCGGAGAGGTTACTCTAACACACATTGCATGAATTACCAGATCTTCAAGAAATAAAGGTCTCTTCAATTACCTTTATTTCAATACCCTATTCCATATTTTCGCAGTCAATATTGTAACGATTTTTAAGTAAAGCTGAATTTCAATTATTGTGTAACATACTAATTATCTCGCCTCTACTTTATTTTTTTATAAAAAAATAAGCATTTCGATTTCATTTTTAGGATAAAATCTTTAATGTTTTTCCCAGTCTTGATTAAATAAAAAAAGGCTTACTTTCAGCTTCTGTCACTAACCTCTCTAGACGATAGTTAAAGCAAAAAGTTTTGTTTTAACTAAATTCTTCAATTATGATGTTTTATGATTATCAGCAATCATAATTGAAGAATTTAGTTAACAGAAAAGAATTGTTGCTATTGTTACAGTTAAAAAAAAACAAAGTAACAATTCTCTTCAGACTAATGAGGGGTTCGAGAATACTTTAACAAAGTTGTATTGCGATTGCTTTCATTAGGGGAGAAAGGATTATTGTTACAGTAATCCAGCAGAAATAAAAGACTGTTTTATTAATGGCGAAGTTTTTTTTTCTCTACAAATTGCAACTTTTTCGCTTTTTTCGGATGCGTAAATTACCAACATTACATAAAATTTCTTATCTTTTTATCAGCAAATGAAAATTTAAAATAAATGTAAAGCAGTTCCAAATATATCCAGATTTTGAATCTGCATATTAGTGAATGGGTGAATCAATAAAGAAGGAATATAAGAATCAGTTTATAAATTAATGAAATCTCATAATAGCTGTTTTAAAATCAGAGCAAAGTTTACGTAAATCTTAAAAAATCTCAAGACTATTTTTTAGTATATTTTATTTTATAACCGTCGTTGAACAGCCGACCCAATTTCAAACCCAATCCAGAAGACACGGAAACTCCTGGATCAAGTGTTGGGAGAAATTTTTCTTCGTCGAGGACTTTTTAATGGAACTAACCCGCATTTGTGTTACATTGTGAGGAAGACCACGAGAACATACCACGGTTAGCCAGACGGCAAGGGGACTCTTAACCGTGATCCGTCTACTACTGAGGATAATTCACGTCAGCACTGTGGTCTGTGCAAGCCGGATGTGGAATTCGTATCGACCAGCCATCGCTGGGATTCGAACCCAGTTCACCTCCTATCCTCGCTATCTTGAATTTCAGGTTAAATTTTTGATTGTTTTGTTGCTTTTTTTTTTCTTGATATTTTTCTGTGTGGAACTTTTGATGATATTGTGTTATTAAACAACAAAAAACTTTTCCAAAAAAAAGGTAGAAAATAAAAGAGTCGCATTATTAGATTACTGGAAATTGCGATTGATAATTTTAGTACTTCTATGAAATTTTTCTCAAAAGATTTAAACAATAAAATGATGCGATTTGTGGTTTTGAGTAAGCTATTTAGAACGACAAGTTTCTCAGTTTTCAGATTTTTTTTAAAATTTTAATTTTATTACAGTTTAAGCTGATGAAAACTAGTTTCGGATGATACTGAAAAATTCCCTTTTTAATAAAAACAAAGATGCTTACAAAAATCTATAAACAATCTACCGTATACTATTTAACTGCCTATCAAAAACTGTTGGTTGCCAAATTGTATTGGCATAATTTTGTCTGAAAAAAAATTTATGGAAAATATAAATACGTCATGTTTTACTTCTCAAATTGTAATTAAATAGCAGTCTTATATTAGCTATATATTACAAGTACCAAACGATGCTGCACAGTAAATATTCAACATTCGTTTAGTTGTAAGAATAAATAAGGATTATTAAAAGCGCACTTAGAATTTTCTCCCCACGTCTCCACTTCTTCGATTGTAGAATTTAATCGGAAGAGAAAGGGATTCTTAATTACCTATAGCGTTTTCAAACTTTTTTTTCTAAAAAAAGGAGGTACAAATATTTCATCTAAGGAGTTAGATGTTTTTTTTTTATAACCGTCGTTGAACAGCCGATCCAATTTTGTGAGTTTACGACTACTAATGTCAACTCCGTAGCCTTGTAACTTTGAGCTCAATCCAGAAGACATGGGAACTCCTGGATCGAGTATTGGAAGAAATATGCCTTCGTGGAGGACTTTTTGATGGATCTAACACGCATTTGCGTTACATGGAGAGGAAGACCATGAGACCCTTCCACATTTGGCTTGACGACAAGGGGACTCTAACCCATGATCCGTCTACCACTGAGTATATTTTACGTCAGCACTGTGGTCGGTGAAAGCCGGTTGCGGAATTCGTCTCGACTGGGATTCGAACCCGGTTCGCCGCATTGGAAGGCGAACGCTCTATCCTCTGAGCCAGCGCGGCTGAAGGAGTTAGGTGTTGTTGTTATCGTATGCCATTAAAGCAAAGGGGTGCGCTTCTTCTTGTTTTCCAGTGGCGTCATCTATGGCCAAGAATTTGACTTCTGCCACACTCAAACGTCACAACCCGTTTATAAGGTGGACCCATTCTTACATCCATTCATTCATCCACAGATCAGAATTTTGACCTGAACCAGAGAACGATCCATCTCCAATTCAGCATCCTCAAAGATATGATTCATAATGGTTAGATGAGGAGTTAGATTTATAAGGGAGTTGATGAATAATGGTTAAATTTCTGACGGAAGGCTAGAATCCAGGAAACGACCGATTAAATTTCGTATACTGCTTACAGTCCAAATATATTGGTAGAAAAAAACCCAGTAATTAGCTGATCATGGATTAGAATTTCTTTAACATCAGGGTAACTGTTAAAGGTATCATTCGCCAATTCAATAATTCTTCAAAAAAATCCTCTGTTTGTCCCGATTCTTAATCCCATTTGTCACATTTTTGCTTCGGTTTAGCAATTAAAAGACATACAGATGTAGGTTGGAGTCACTCTATCGCATCGGGGTAACCGTAAAATAATTCATCGAACATTCGCTAATTATTCAAAGATTTATTTCTCAAAAACTATTCTTGCAAAATACATGGCACTAAATATCCGTTTTTTATTTTCTTTCCCGAAAAAAAAAATTCTTGTACATTTATCGTACTGTATGGTCATGATATTTTTAGTAAAAATGCCATAATTCTGGTAAATAAAAAACAAAATATGCGTTAGTAAGCCAGTCATTTGGTAATTTTTCTGTTCACATGATTATGGTTTACCCGAAATTCTGGTTTTCAAAATACTAGTTTTCATAACCTCAGACTTAGTAAAGACTTACCACGTGGATAGAATGAGAATGACCTGTTTTTTTTTCTTCTTCTTTTTTAAATGTACACACTCCACAATTCTTTTTTATATCGAAAATAAATTCCATTGATATTTCACTCTTCCAGAGTAATATTTTCCCAAGTAAATTCAAATTACATTACTGCTTTTAGTTAAAACTATCAGTAAAGGGCGATTTATAGTAAGCCACGGCAATCAAAAACATTTAAAATTTCCGAATTAAAAATAGAGTTGGTAATTTCAAATAATAATTTAAAACTAAGCTCAAAGATTAAACAATTTAACGGAGCACCACAAAAATAACATTCTATTTTTCCTCGGCCATTTGGTATTTAAAAGACAAGCGGGAGGTCATTGATATATCAGACACTCGACTATTTTGATCAAATTTTTCTAAAAAAAATAAATAACCATCAAACTGTGGAACTTAATTTTTTAAACTATAAACATTGTATGTATCATTTAATCTCCTAAACCTTATTTATTTAGCCTGAAAAATCTTAAGTATTTTAAATTAACTTCCTGTGTTGTTTTAAAATAGTTTTCCCTGTGCATAGCTATTTTAGAATATAATTGAGAACTTTTTTTTCTTCGTTAAAACTGTTAAAACATCAACCATTTAAAAAAAAAAAGAAAAACATTTTTACTCAACAATCTAGAGCTAAAAAGAATCATTTGCTTAATATTTTAGAACGAAATTTCAATGCGTAAATGTTTTTTCAACTTTTGTAAAAAAAAAATAACAATAATTCAACTGTTATAAAAATCGTCCGAAACAATCAGCGCGAATGACTTACACTTAACGCGAATTACTTACGCTTGAAAGCAAAATTTTCTTGGATGCCCAAATGAAGAGGATGTTACGGATTTACTGATGCAGACAACACGCTCTCGGATTGGAAGAGGATGAAATCAGTGCCACCTAGTGGGGAAATCCAGAAATCAAGTTCTCTTCGACCATTCAGCAATTCAATCACACTTTCGATTTTTAGAACTTACTTAACAGAGGCTTAGGGAACAGATGACCCTCTATTATAGTGGAAACCGGTTCTTTTAAATTAACTAGAGATAGATTTTGTTTTTATTGCTTAAAAAAAATAAAAGACCCGATTAGGAGTGTAGACCCCCTCCCCCGTGTTCTTCATTCATTACTTACTACGATCTTACGATTTGTAGTTTATTTTGGGTATGGGGCACCTTTTTTTTTTCTTATAGGCATGGATATTTGTGAATTGTTTTACTACATTAGATCTAATTTGTGAATACTTTAGATCTAAATTGTGATTTTGGATAACAGTAAATTTTGAATTTCTGTTTGGAGTGTTTCATCTTGAATATTGCCGCATTGGATTCCTCAAAAAAGGTGAATATATTTCATAGTTCTGTTATTAATTTGTAATTTAAATCATTTAAGATATAAATATTTACCTATAAACGAATTTTATGTTTGTGAATTAATTAGTACATTGTATGAATTATTCGTATTACTTGTTTATTCATTAATAATTATATTTATATCATATAATATAAACTTATATTTGAAACTTTATAATTTCAATATAAAAATAAAATTTTAAATTGCATTTCAACTGTTTCATATTTTTTTTAAATTAATTTTGCTATTCAGTATAATTTAGTGTACAATTTTACAATATTTTACGTTTCACCAAGTAATTTATTTATTTCATACAATTATATTAAAAACAGAATAAATATTAATGGATCATTTATTAATTGCTTGTGAATTCCAAGTTTAAATTTTCCTTTAATTTTTTAAGTCTTAGTCATTTAATGTATTTGATTGATGCCTTTTGAGTTTGAAGTTTTTTTTTCTTATTTATTTTAAAAACTGTTTGATAATTGTGTAAAAATGGTTTTCATTCATTGTAAAACAGATTCATGTTAATTAATATTGTATATCTTCTTCTCTGATTAAAGTATTTTCTTCTGAAAATTTAATTTTTTTAAAAATAGCGGTAGTTATTTTATTGAACATTATATTATTTATATCTATGCTAGAAAATAGTTTAAAATGCTTAAAGTAGAAATTTAAAAATTTTATTTCATTCACCGGCAAAAAAAGGCAAGTTTTGCAAATTAATAATAAAATAATCACAAAATTGTGCGTTTTTATTACTTTTATTAGCGCTTTTCCTCATCTAAAAGGGTTAATTATAAACTGAAAAAATTTAAGTTGCTTAGAGAATGTATTGTAATTCCGTTTTTAACAGGGAATGAGTAAAATTGAATACCTACTCTAGTAATTAACCTCTTGTTTCACATTTTACTAAAATCTTTTTTTAAAAATATTTCCATGGGCATAGTCGGATCTTTAATTAGAGTAACTTATTTCTTTGTTAATAAAAATTCACATAAGATTCTATTGATTTTAATTGTATTTATTCTGAAATCCACTGGTTGAATCCAATTTAAAAACAAATCATGTTTCTTTTGATAACATTTTCCAACGTAGCTCATCTATTCTAATGACGTGTGTATTGTATGGATTTTAATTCTATACTTGAAAAATTCCATTGCCTCTAATCACTCTAATAGAATTCTAGTTTTGCAATGTTCTATTGGTTCTAATCATTTAATGAAAGATTACATTTAAAAAAATTTTTGAGCGGTTCATGTGAAATTTTATTGACCTAATTGAATGACATAAATTTGATCTGAATATATTGAAAAGTTTTCCACTAAGTTATAGCCAATATATCCAAATTTTTATCTTCGAAATTAACTTATCTTGTGTGTATGGCTCCGAATTGAAAAACTAACCATTTGAAATAAATTAATTACACCACTGTGTATAATTGAATGAAATTATTGAAAATATTGATTGGGATTAAAATATTTTTTTATTAAAATTATATTAAAAGAAATTCACCAGAAACTTATTAAGATTATATCTTAAAATTTTTTTGAATAGTTCATGAGAAAATTTATTGACCTAATTGAATGACATGAATTTGATCTAAATATATTGAAAAGTTTTCCACTAAGTCATAGCCTGTTTATCCTAATTTTTATCTTCGAAATTAGCTATTTTATCTTTTGGGTTGGGCACCGAATTAAAAAATTAAGCATTTGAACTAAGCATTTGAAATCTTTTATTCCAAATCAATAATTGTCCAAAAAATATTGGTTTGGATTAAAAGATTTTTTTATTAAAATTATATTGAAAGAAATTCACCAGAAACATATGTAAGATTACATCTTAAAATTTTTTTGAAAAGTTCATGAGAAAATTTATTGACCTAATTGAATGACATGTATTTGATCAAAATGTATTGAAAAGTTTTAAATTAAGTCATAGCCTGCTTATCCTAATTTTTATCTTCGAAATTAATTATTTTATCTTTTGGGTTGGGCACCGAATTGAAAAATTAAACATTTGAAATAAATTAATTACACTACTGTGTACAATTGAATGAAAGTATTGAAAATATTGATTTAGATTAAAAGTTTTTCCATTAAAATTATATTTAAAAATATTTAGCTGAAGCATATGTACTTAAATATGCGAAATAGAATTTCAAAAAAAATCATGTTATCAAAGCGAATAAATGCAAATTTCGTTTAGAAAGATGATAAAATAAAAGAATTTATACATTTTTCTATCTTTCAAATAAATGAACTGTCCAACAAATATAATGGTTTAAAAATTCATTTATTAATGGATATATATTATTTCACAAATATATAATAGTTGCGCCTGAATAAAAGTATTTGGATTTTTTTTCAGATATAGAATCTAAAATTAATGAATATATTTTCCATTAATAAATTATAAACTCCTACGTGAAATATAAATCTTAAATAAATGAAGTTTGATATATGCATAAAACTTTGATTAGAAAGTTCTAATTTTTACAATAGCTGCAGGGAAAAAAAGAATTCTGATAAAATTGCCGTACTGTCTGGTAATGAATGTCCCGAAAAAAACGTATTTCTGGTTAATAGAACCGAAATATTAAACCCCACTCATTTGGTAATTTTTCCTTTCATATGGTAATGTTTCACCAGAAATTCTGGTTTTCAAAATGTTGCTTCTTATTACTAGACATAACATATACTAAATAAATAGAAAACTGAGAAGTAAATTTAACCGAATAAATGATTTTCATGCCATCTTATCATGACAAAAAATTACCAAATTATACCACACTAGGAGGCTTCGCCCCCTGCTCGCTAACGCTCACCATCCCCCGGAACTGCTTTCGCAGTTCATTTCGGATTGCTTCGCAATCGAATGCTCGCTTTGCTCGCTCATTGGATACGTTCATAACGTCTAGCTTTTGTATACTTTTTTGAATACTGAAGTTTCGAAAACTTTTCACTGTAGAAAATTCTAAACCTGTACATTTCAATATTAATTTGAAATTGNTACCAAACATTTTGCAAAAAATAGAAAACTGAGAAGCAAATTTAACCGAATAAATGATTTTCATTCCATCTTATCATGACAAAATTACCAAATTATACCACATTTACAAATTTTACCAGATGAAAGGATAATTTAACCGAATAACTGGTTTTTATATCATCTTATCATGATAAAATTACAAAATTTTACCACATTGACCAATTTTTAACAACTATTAAAAAATATTTCATTATTAATTTTACTAACATCATTCACTTCAGAAATCGAAATCAGCACCAAAATTTACCAAAATCAGCACCAAAATTTGCCAAAATCAGCACTTCGGTATAAATTACCGAGTATATTGGTTCCCCCACAGAGCCCGATTCACGGTAAACACCATTTATTCACTTACTAAAAAAAATAAAAAATTTATCTAAATATTATATATATATATATGTATATATATATATATATATTGGCCCTAAAACTATTTCATTACATAACAACTTTTAGTTAAAAAAATGAAGTGGATATCATAACAATAAGATGGCGCAAGATATCGATCATGAACTACAAATTCTAAGAATAATGTCGCCATACCAAAGAGTATTAGAAGTTAGGAATTTCGTTTTTCACTTACTCGAAAGAGTGGAATATCGATTTATCATAAACTTATGAAGCAAATATTTTTATTTATTTTTAATTGAAAATCAATTTTTATCATGATTATTATACATATCATTTTAATGGTCAACACGATATCCACACAAAAAAATTATAAGGAAAAACTACACGGAAAAAAATTTTCTGGTTAAATTACCATGGCTTATGGTAATCAGAAATATAGTCTTGCTGGTAAGAAAACGTCTATATTTCTGTTAATAAAAATAAAATTTATTCTACTTATAAGCCATTTATTGTTAATTCTTCCGTCAATGTGGTAATGGTTTACCAGAAGTTCTAGTTTTCAATATCACAGTTCTTTTTACCAAACATTTACTAAAAAATACAAAGCTGAAAAAGTAAATTTAACCGAACAAGTGGTTTTTATGCCATGATCTAAACTAATATGAACAATTTCTCGAGTTTTACCACATTTGAATAATTTGACTACATAGTATTGCACGACATTTTATGGTTATTTTAACCTAAATCATTACCAAAGCACTTTGGTTCGGAATTTTTTTGGTGTTCCCACAGTGCAGAAACACGGTATATTTTACCATATTCTGGTAGCTTTGACCATACATTTATGCGATTCAAAGTGCGACAGTTTTAAAATAAAGCTAATGACAGAATGATTATAGCAGCAAATTATTGCTGTGCGTACTTTTTGTGCGATATGAATTCAGTATCAGCTGAAATTGCTTTATATTACTGTACTTATTTTTAATTGCTTAAACAACGCAACTTTTTTAAGAATTACAATCTGATTAACCTTTAAAACATCTGATTTTGCATTTAACACCCTTGTTTTCTAAATTATAGTTCCCAAGAATTAGGAGGTGTGTTGATCTTAGTAATAGGGTTAATCAAAGGTTATAGTAATAGGGATAAATTATAGGGTTAATCATTGAGTATCACTAAGGCAAATAATTTGAATTTTTAATTCTGTAAGTGCAGTTTAATGATTTTAAAATTTCGTCAAAATTTGAAGCATAGCACTTTGAATAAACGGGGTGTTCTGTAATTATTGTCTTTAATACATATTTAAAAATTTGTTTCCAAATTTAAGTAAATAAGACCAAAAATTAGAAAAGGTGAAACTTTGTTACAAAGAAAACATAAGTTGAAAAATAAGTTAAAGATACAGTTCTAAAATTATTTATATCTAATCATTATTTAATAGTTATTTCTTAGAACCTGTAAAACGGGAAGAACAAGGAGATACTTTTAAAAATAAATGGATTACTTATTGGATTTTAAAAATTAATTTACAAATAAATAAAAATTGCTTTTTAAAAATTATGTTTTCAAAAAATTTAAAAGCA